ATTTCTATGGCTTTGATGAAAATGACCCCAACTAACATCAAAAATCATTTCTATTGGTACCTGAAACTTATCTTTTCCTTTTACCACAAAATGTTCCTTTAAGGACACAAATAAGATATTCCAATTCACTATTAAAGCAACCATTTACCCAGTGTTAGATAAGCCAGCCCCCATTTCAAAAGAAAATTAATGGCAAACTTCAATTTGATGCAAGTCAAAGCTACAAATATATTATGGAACTTCTTTCAAAAAATGACACAAAATTAAAATGAAATAGGCCCTAAAATTTAGGAATCAAATTGGGTAAAGTAAATCTTAGTTATAGGAGAAAATGAAACATTCTATAATAAGATCACAAATGATAAGGTGTAATAAAAACATGAAGTATGATACGTAAGGTCAGAAGGACTGATATAAAATATGAAATGAACACAAAAACTGCCTATTCCTAGTGACTCAAAGTATTTGGCTGTTACAAAAGAATTAAATCTCACATAAAGCTGAATAGTAAATGAGTTGAACTTGCAATACATCATACTTAAATCTCTCTAGGTGTTCCTAAAAAGTGTGTTACATTTTTTCCTAGAAATACGTAAGATCTAGGACAGAGTTAAATTAAAAAAAAAATAAGAACATGACATCATGAAATTTCAACAGTAGTATTCTATATATATAAAATGTGAAGATAAAGAGAAGTTATGGTTTGGGTAACAGTAAAATACAGTTAAAAATCCAGCAGAAAACCATTCTTGTAAAACACAGTGTGACTTACTTTTACCCTGAACCTTGAAATTACTAAGGCAAAGCCCACAGGAGGAGAAACTGCCAAAAGCATACTGACATTGAACCAGAGAGCAGTGTGACATTTATTCTGCACATGGATCTGATTTATTCACATTACCCTTTAACAAGAAATAAAACATCTTTAATTGTTTTCTGAAATCTATTTTTATGGCAGTACAAAGTTCCCAAGAAAAAGAAATACTTTTTCATTTCATCATAGTAGGGTTTCAACTCTGGTTTTGTTACTTGCTAGTTCATGATTAGGAACAGTTTCTGCAAGTCCTCTGAGCCTCTGTTTCCTCATCTGAGAAATGTAGATGAGACTTGTTATAAAAATTAACCAAGATGAAATTGAGAAAGTGATAAACACAATATGAATTACCCATCAACTCTCAAAAAACTTGGTTTCTTTTTTCCCTGCCATTCCTTAATCTCTAGTGGTAGCAAAAAATATGAGTTGATCTTAAGTGGACAGCTACTGTCTTTATACATGGTTAAAATCTGCCTCTATGAGATTGAATGAAAAAGAAGACGGGAACTAGAAATAACAGTGTAAGGATTTTTTTAAAAGTTTAGTTTTTCTTTTATACATTTCATAGCACCTGGCTTTCATCTTACTATAGAAGAAATACAAAATGGAAGACACTCTCTCTGACACCAAAATTCAGTAAGATAATAGCCTTGATAACTAGGCTATTGTCCTTCTAGGACTTTTACTAAATCATTAGCTTTATTCTTTTAACTTTACAGTACTGACTTATTTGGACTCATTGTAAAATGTCTCTACTGTGTAGAGATCAAGGCTTTCAAGTTGTACAGTACCAGGAGGTCTAGTCAATAGAATTCCACGATTTATCTTGGGATCCAACTACATGGAGTATAACCCAAATAATATGCAAAGAGATATTTCTGCCCCCATTAAAGATGGTTGGAGTCAAGCCAGTACCTGGAACTAGCCAGGGACTTTGTTGGTTGCACTGGCATTTGTTGTCCTGGTACCCTGCTTTCTCTCTCCTAGTTCTGTCTTTTAGTTTTATTTCTCAGACCTGCATCATATACTGGGCAGGGTACTGAAACCTAACTGTAGGGGTCTCCAATTGCTGGCACCTTGTGTCAGTTTCTAAATACATTGGTGACTCACCCCTGTGGGTCATTAGAAAAATTCTATGGTAAAATGTATAGACCTCAACAAGAGTTTGTAAATTGTTTAGCTAAAATTGTTTATTTAATTATTAAATTTTCAATTTTTTTTACAGCTAAAATTAAAAGCGAAATCATCACAAAATATCAGATCAATGGCTGGTCCAAAGGTAGTGAGTTATTTCAATTGATTGTTCACAGTCAGTTATAGATTGGACTCCGTGTTCTACTCTTTCCCCCTTCTCACTACTACACTTGACTAGTTCTAGTCTTGTTATGTATCTCTCTTTATCCTTCTAGCAAGACAAACATACAAAATCCTTTCATATCAAAGGTATATCTCTTTTACTTATAGCCTTCTTAATATTTTTCTTCCATTTCACTTACTATAAACAAATTTGTTATTCTATAACAAATTGGAAACCAACAAGCAAACATACATATTTTCTTGATAAATCACTCCCACACATCTTCTTGATGTACCTAGGCCAGTTGTAGGCACTTATTTTTATTGGCAATCAATTGGAGTAAAGGCAAGCTACATGTAGTTTCTATGGAAATTATTGTAAACAAGGCTCATAAAGGACAAGACAAAGCATTCTCAAATTAGGAACAGAATAGACAAGATATATGATTGCAATTAGAACATTGTCCTTCTAGTCAGGAGGTTTTAGTTGTGGGAATGGAATTGGGGTGCGAGTTACTTTGTCACATAGGCTTTAGCCAGACTCAGTTCTATAAACAATCCAATTGTGGGGTAAACTCTTTACAGCCTGCTTTAGGCATAATCAATATTACAGTCCTTTGCAGAAGGATGTATAATGGAAAGGAATTAAAACAATTTCAGTTGCCCACTAGAGTAGTGTAAAGGAGGAAAAAGTCAGAGAAAAGAAGCACGTAAAAGGAATACTTATGGGTATCCCAGTTGGGGAAGCATATTTTGGTAGTGGAATTCTTGTCTTCCAATTACATCTTAATCTGGGAGGATGCTGTCTTGGAGGTGAGGATGGAGGGGAGTTACATGAAAGCAGAGATTACATGTGCAGAAGCTGTTTTCTGGTTTTCCCCTGTGTCTGAAAAGGCAAAAGTATATCTCTAGCAAATGAACCATGGCTTGACTTGGATGTTCAGGTACAAAGGCTGTAGGATAAATGGGAATAAAAATCAGAGTGTAAGGTGGCATTAACAAGATTTGGAATGATGCTGAGGTAACCAGAGAATGGGACACAGTTCTGCCCACACCAACACAAAAGATGTTAGTCCTAACTCTGGATGTCAGCAGGACTAAAAGCTCTGAACAAATGAGATTGCTCTGGGGTACAGAGTGAGAAGAGGCATAAATACTCCTTCCATTTTTAACCAGGCACGATCTTCATAAGAGGAGTAGCAATATTAGAGTACAGCAGTCATGGACAAAGTTTAGGGAATTGTATTCAAACAATCTGAACAATTTGACTATGTCCTTGATAAGATCTTAAGTTTTTATTGAAAACCTGCAGATAAGGTTGTAGGAAGGAAGTAGATAAAACCAATGCATGAAAGTATAATTTCTCTCTCCTTTATATCTAAGATGAGTAGGCATTCTATGAAAGACCCTGCAACTGACATCTGTATGACTAACAGCTTACAAAACATCTCCAAAAGAATTCTGGTTTTAAAACAAGGTTCTCAATCTGGAAGACACACGGACTTTTCCAGGAGGACTGGAACATCATAAAGTAAGAGAATCACAAAAAAAGATAAATATCCAAGGTGAGTTTTAACAATCTTGAAAGGCTAGAAAAATGACCAAGATCTTGCCTTCCTATATATGAAAACATATGACAAATCTACAAGAATCATAACAGTATAGTACTGAAGTAGAAAAGACAGATCTGTGAAACAGAACACCCTTCAAATAGACTTAGATAGATACAGATGGATATTTATATATTCATCAAATCTTTCCATCTCTATCTATATATCTATATACAATATGAATTTCTGATGTGAAAAATATACAGTTCAAAATAAAAAGTGGAGAATGAATAATTCAATAGAGTGGAAATCTGCAGATTACCATTTTGTAGGGGAAAATGTTAGATTCCTGTTTTGCATTCACTTGACATGCATGTATTTCCAAATGAACACATGATCAGAAGGTAGAAAATAAAACAAAATATTTATAAGATATGTATTTAGAGAATTTTACCTCTTCAGAAATAAAATAAAAATAAGTGATAGAAGAGTTACCATAATTATTTAATGAAAAGAACTTAAACTTATATATGTTAATAAACAATGCCAAGGTTCCACTGCTCCCAGCCCAGAGGGAGGGGCTTCAAGGCCAGCTTTCCACTGCTCCCAGCCCAGAGGAAGGGGCTTCTGAGCCACCATTCCACCACTTCCAGCACAGAGGAGGTGAGACACATGGGTGTTAACAGCACACACACACCCCAATCAAAATGAGAAGACACATAAACAAGTCTCAAAATCAGACTTCCAGACCACCTACACCAACCCCAAAGGGAAAGGAGATGGAACAATCTGATACTCAACCACCTGAATGCTTTCTACAGTGGTAATATTGGGAGTGTGAAAATGGACAAGAGAAATTTGTACTTTAATCTTGACTTCTTCATTAGTTTATTTTTCTTCCTCTTTTTTTAAAAAATGATATAAACTATAGAAAGGATTACTATTTATTTTAAAAGGTATTTAACAAAACTAGGATGTGAAATTATTTGTTGATTAGAATCACAACTTTAATTAGGAAATATTGGTTTATATGCCTAAAGATTTAATCTTGTTTGGGAGTAGGGATGGGGATAGTTTAACCAAGATGTGAAGAGTGGCTATAGGTAATTTACTAGGTAATTGATGTTATCTTATTTGTGCATTCTTTAAGCCCAACAATTATTATATGCTACCTTTTTTAAATCTAGAAAATCTCCATAAAATGGAAAAAAACTAAAAAAAACACTAACTAAATATGTATTTTTAAATATCTCTATTAGTCAGTCCTTACTAGAGAAACAGATATAATACAAGATATACAAATATATAAGAATTTATAAGATTGGCTTACAATGGTCATCTACAGAATCAGGTTTGGAAGGGTGCAAAAGGTCTGTCTGGCACTGGGGTTCCAAAGAATCAGGTCCAAGGGCTGCAGCTCTGCATAGTATCCTGTGGCGTTCCATACCAGGAGTACAAAGGGTCTGTGCTGGGAGCCAGGTGGTGGTGTCCAAAATGAAAGTGAAGACAGGAGTTTCTCTGAGGAAAACAAAAGCAATCCTTCCTTCTTCATTTCCCTTTATATTATTCTGGCAATAATCGTCCCTATGGTAGGTCTTTCACACCCAGAACTATGCTGAGACAATTCTGTTGGGTGTTACTTACTCAGGTTGACATAATCAATCAACTCTCACACTGTCTTTGAACTTACTACTTTCATAACTCTGAAATGAAGATCATTTATGTTTCATCAGGCAGGAAACAAGACTGTCTTTGGTTGTTCTCCTTGAAGTAGAACTTGAGATTTAGATTTTCATGGAGCAATTCATAACCAAAATTCTGTCAGGAGGGACCAGTAAAGGCATAGGGAATGCGAGGGGGGAGGAAATGTGAGAAACCAGTAAGGCTGTGATTTCAGGTATTGTCTCTCCAGGTCTCACTTGTCTCATTCCCACAGATGGCCTCTGGGCAGAGATTAATCCCAGCATTAGCCAATTTTAGGCAAAGCTGACTGAACTTCAATTTTTCATTGACTAAGGGTCTTCTGGAGGAAGGGGCTGGGCATGGCAGGAAGTGTGGTACTTTAGGTGGGTACACAGATTCCAGGAGCCAAGGGAAGCTCAGGTGTCAGCAAATAGCCAAAGCCAACACAAGTCAGGAGATGGAAGTGCCCACCAAGAAAAAGGAGTTGGAGGAGATCTGGACAAAGAACCAACAGTACCCACAGAAAGAGGAGTTAGATTTTATTTAATTTACATTTTTTTCTTTATTTAAAATATTGAGTTGAACAAATATCTTTTTCTTTTCTGGGACTATAGGAAAGAAAATCAACAATGACATATGAATGAAGTTGCCATAGTATCAGTTCTAGTGCAGAGTTTCTAAGAACTCTCAATAAAGTAAAATTTAAGAGCTTCAAATTTATACAGAAAAAATTCAAAGTTCCAATTATTTTACAGACTTAGACTTTTCTAAGATTAAAAGAGGGTTTCAGTTTCTGTTTCTATATTTCTTCAGGATCCATTTTCTTTTTCCAACTTGTGTTTTCTGGCATACATAGCAGAGATGCAATATTAATACTATTTTTTGTAGAACATTCTATATATTTCACAGAGATAATCCCATTATTTACTTCTAAATGATTTTAATGCATCCCTGGATACTAGAAAAATGAATGCTTTCAGAATTATTTTATACAAAATTTAAACTATAGTGCAAAGGAAATAACTCAAAATAAGACGTACCCAAAGACACAGATTAAGTAGTCATATACCCTACGGGCTGAGGTGTCACATACCACTGGCTGTATTTTCCCCACAGAATTCCCATACATTTACATACTTCTCCCCTGCAACTTTGGACAAATTCCTAAAACTGTCTTTGTCAGTCCTTATCAGTTTCCTAGTCAGGCTCAAGCACACAGTAGGTGCTGAGGAAATAGTTAGAATATATGAATCAATGAAGAACATGTCAGCCTTATTCTGACCTCTGTACTATAACTCATGTGGTTCTGTAGATCTAGGTTGTCTAGAATAGACTCATCTTTCTCTCCAGGTACAAATGCTTTTATATATTATTTTTTGTATTTTTTATATTGTTACCTGGCAAATAATCACAAATGAAGTGGTTTTAAACAATGCACATTTATCATCTCACCTTCTATGGGTCAGAGGTTCAGGCATAGCTTAGCCCATTCCTCTGCTTAGAGTCTCCACAGGGTTGTAATTAAGGAGTCATCTTGACAGCATTCCATTCTAGAGCTCAGGTTCCTCACACAAGCTCTTGCAGCTGTTGGAAGAATTCAGTTCTTTGTACCACAAAACCAAGTTTTCCATTTTTCTTATTGGCTGTTAGCTGGAGGCTCCTCTCAGCTCCTCCAGGCCCTGGCAGTCCTCTAACACAGGCCACCTAATAATATACCAGCTCACTTTAAATCCAGCAAGGAAGGGCCTCTCATCTTTCTAAACAGTGGTCAGAGTCATAAAGCAATAGCTATGGTCACTATGTTTACACCTGTATCTATGCTAGACCCCTCCTTATTTGAAGTTTTGCTAACAGTGGTTTGTTATTCACAGTCAACTGTAATCAAATAGAGTAAATGGAAAATCCAAGAAGTAAACAATTGAAAAATTATTTGTTTTATTTTCAATTTTTTTATTAGTACATGTTTACAATACATGCATTTTACAATCATCTTGAGAAGCTGGTGCATAATACAGGTCTCCAATCCCTCTCCCTCCTCTTCTAATTCCTTTTTCCCCCTTTTCAATCTGGTTGATATTATTAAACTTAGTTCATCTTTATGGTATATAATATTTATATTCATTCAGGTTATTAGGATCCTGTACATGACTTATCTTTGTTTTACTTATTTTCCCAACACCTCTCCCTCTCAAAAGTTTTAAACTGAGCACTGTTCTGAGTAATGTGATGAATTCTCATGTTATTCCTCTGTTCTGCCCAGGATGTGAATCAAGGTTTTGCCTCGCTTATCTACACTGCATATACTATATACCAATTAGTCACTTAGTAACTGTCTCAGTTGTCAGATCAATTGTGCAGGATCTTAGTGTTTGTGTTCAAATAACCTGTGTTTTACCTAATAATGGACCAAAAAATAAACAGATGCTGGCAATTTGGATATGCTAAAAAAAAGCCTGAAGTGTTTTCTTTAAATGAAAAGGTGAATCTACCAATGTAGAAAGTGTTGTCATATTTCTATCAAAGTTGAAGAAGCTAAATAATGATAAAAGATACCATTCAAAGCAAGTCTTTAGGGGCCAGGGATTTAGCTCAGTGGTTCTTCCACCTGCCTCGCAAGTACAAGGTCCCAAGTTCAATTCCTGGTACCAAATTAAAAAAAACAAACAAAAAAAGCAAGTCTTCCCTTGTGATGAAATTGGGATCTTCAGGAGGGCACCCAAGAAAATTTATATTTGTGAAATGGCAATGGAGAGAGAGAGAGAGAGAGAACATTCATGTAACTTGTATTACAATATATTGTTAAACTTTTCTATTTTATTAATGGTTATCTTAACTTCTTATTGTGCCTACTTTAGAAATTAAACTTTTATCACAGATATTTCTGTATATATAGGAAAAAACCCTGTAGTATATATAGGGCTCAGTATCATCTGCAGGATAGTTTCTGGCATTCACTAGAAATTTCAGACATTCACTGGAAGGCTTAGAACATGGAAAAGAGGATACAGAGTGACAGCCTATCCTTTTTGTCATATTCTGTGATTTGGAAGCAATGCACAGGCTCTGCTGATACTATAGAGAAAGGGATCACACAAATGTGACTCATTTTTTTTATGGTGACTTTGACACATTATACATATCCTATTGCTTTCAAAGTCAAGCTCAACTCACTGCCTAATCATTTGGTCTCCTAACAACAGATTCTAGAGACAATAGAAATAAGCATTTGCTTAGGTTGGTACTTTTCATCATTTCACATATCCTGTCACATATATATGCACACATGTAGGTTATGTGCTTAATAGGTACAGCTTGAGAGCCCCCAAAGCTATAATCTTAGAAATATCTATAGTCTTAATCTGTCTTTTGGCACATTATCCAAAAAATCAAAAAGTTATGATATATTTTCTGATGGTCACTCAGAATTCTCACTTCTTTGTCATTTATGGGCCTTCATTTTGGACCACAAAGATATCATATCTTTTTAAAAATTAATTTTGTTGGTATATTTTAGGTATACATTATGATCACATTCATCATTGAGAATTTGTACTTGTACATAATATATCTTAGTTCTTGTTTTTTCCTATTCCCCTTCATTCCCTTCGACCCCTCCCTATTTACAAAAGCTTTGTTTATGCTTTTTCTTTCTTTTCTCATATTTTTTCTTTCTGTTTTTTTCCTTTCCCCCACCCTACATACTTCCTTTTACCCTTTAACTTTTCCTTCCTATTTCATATGATCTATTTTGCATTTTGGTCCTCATTTATACTGTCTCTCTAGTGTAAGAAAGATACCGCATCTTAAGAAAGCCTCTGGGCTATGCTCCATGGTCCCTGACTTTGCAAACCCCACATCACCTGCACACTCTACTCCCCAGTCCTCTCACCTCACAGTTTTCTCCTACAATCCTCAGGGCACAAGCCAGGTATTTTCTTTACTTTAAATATTTTGAAAGTAATTAAATATTTCATATTTCTGAGTATATTTCTGGTAAATATGTCAGGCTAAAAATAATTTATCATTTTTGTTTAGGTAAGAAATGATTAAAATAACATTTCCAAAAATTCAAATAAAGCAAAATACAAAATGGGAAGCATGTATTAAATAAGGCAAACTATATTGATGATGAAGTAAAACAAGCATATACATTTTGTTTTAATATATATAAATAGTTCTGGTTTAAAATTATTTTTATATTAGTGTTAATTTTTCCCAACATGAATTTAAAAATAACTATAATTTTGTAGATAAATCTGTGGACCCCCAATGCTAAACATATTTGTTATCTACATTTAGCTTTCATTTCATAAACAGGTAAATGGTTCTACATGCTGTGTTAGTTTCTAAGGTACATAAAGTCTGACAAAATTCATATCATCCTTGATGCTAAAGAAGCTCACTCTAAACTCTGATGTTATGAAATACAAGAAATTTTATAATTGAAATATATGAGAGGGCAAAATCTCACGACAATAGGACCAGTGATGGTCAAGACCTATACAATTAGACGCAGTTAAAGGGACACCTCTTTTTGATTTACTGTTGTCTTTGAGAGCATCAAGATTTAATTATAAGTTTTTTAAACATGCACAAAATCTATGTGTTTATAGTTTCACAGATTTTTAAAATATGGGGTTATTCATTTATTAACTTCCCAGCATGAGGCTGTCTTGGTGTGTCGATGAATTTCAGAAAATCAAATAGTGATGTTTAGTATTCTGATGATTCCCAAACACTCGCTTTTACTGACTAGAGTTTATTTAAAGCTAAGAAAGATAAAGAGGTGAATTATGAACAAATTAGGATGCTTTGCCCAAGGAACTACATGGGATGAAATAATTGATTTTCTACCCTTCTATGGTTTATACAGTATTTCTTTTGTTAGAATCATTATTCAGTATTTCAAATTCTAACATTGTTCATGCTGTTTTAGAATGACTATATCAGTATTTTTTCCTCTATGAAAAAGAAAAAAATCTTCTAAATATGTTACAAAACTGCAGCTAAATATACCTGTATATTTGAGATGTTCTTTGATGATCAGGATTTAAATACATGTAGGTCAAAATGGTGGCATCAAATTGTGTATCTAAATAATTCCTTGTTTGTGTGTTTAGTCTGTTTTATTTAACACACTATGAGCAGTACTGATTCTGTACCACTGTAATTTAAAAGGCACACTCCCAATCAATGATTCATTTTAATGAAATATAATAAGGTTTTAAATGAAGCAGCCCAAATAGATACTTCTTTTGAATGGACCATTTATACAATGCCTAACAAATATATTGCCTGTGTTTCAATATCCAAGCCTCAACAAAAATCACCAATCATTTTTTCTAGTGTAATTGATTCAATAATTAAATTACTGAAATATCAAAAACACGAATGAGTCATGGTGTTCTCGGACATTATCACTTACCTACAGATGTCACCATTCTCATCTCAGTCACACAGATTTTAAGGAAAACTACATCCTCCTCATGACATAAGGGTAAGGGCATATTTTATACCTTGTGGCACAGTCAATCCTCAACTTCAGCTCAGAACAGAAGTGACAGTTAAAAAAAGATGAGCTGGATATAGACCAGCACCACCTACAAAAGTGAGACCGGCTGATCTGATCAGTATTGCAAGAATTCAAACTCAGAAATACAAAGAAATCAGGAAAATTAATAGTAAGAAAAGAGCATAAAGGAGAAGAGAGAATAGAAAATATTCATGGTCAAAGAAGGCAAAAAAAAAAAAAAACCCAAATTAAAAATTCTGGAATAGGCAAAAGAAATAGGTAGTATGTCAAGATGGGGGGTTGTGAAAAACAACTTATTTTTCTGAAATTTCTACAGATTTTTATTATTCCCATCTATGTGAACTACACAATTTTTTGTTCTTTCTTTGAAATGTCTTCAATATTTCAGTTTCTAACTATAGATAAACAACAGTAGCAAAAATTATTTTGTTACAAAGAGCCTTGTGTGATACAGAAACTATTAAATAACTTGTACAATATAAACAGTGACCAAGCTGATTGTATAGTGAATGTAAAATCCAATAGTTGGATCCCAGTGGCCTACCTACAATAATCAGTTTTTATATTAGCTTTTCATTGATGGGACACAACATCTAACACCCACAATTTAAAAGAGATGTTTAATTTGACTCACAGTTTCAGAAGATTCAGTCCATGGCTAGCTAACTCCAAGGTGGGAAAATAACAGCAGAAGAGTGAGGCCAAACAAAGATGTTAGTTGATGGCAGCTGGGAAACAGAATAAGGAAATAGGGTCAGAAAAATATGGTCCAGGTACCAGATAGAGATCCCAAGGTAAATGCCTTCAAGAACAAGCCAGACAAACCCAGAACTATGCTTTACTAATTCCCCAGACAGCCCTTGAGCTAATCAAGTTGAAAATTTTATGATTAATTACCACAATCTGCTAGCACTGAGTAATGCATATACCTCTAATTCAGAGTAGGTGAAAATATGCCAATCAATCTGCATTGAACTTTGCCTTTGCTGACCAGCACAAGAAATGTGATCACAAAGTTCCAAAGTTGCAGGAGAATTCAAATATAGGTATTTTTAACTTGGTTAGAATTGGATGATAAAAATACGAGTTGATGGTATTTATTTATTATTTTTTTGGTACCGGGGATCAAACTTGGAACCTTACGCTTGTGAGACAGGTGCCGGAACCACTGAGTTAAATCCCTGGTGATATTTAATTTTTGATAGTATTTGTTGAGTGGTTTTACAGTACCTACCTCATCTTTTGTTAATTGTTACTTCAGATCTATAGCTGAAGCCAAGGAGCAGCTGTGTCACTAGGTATAAAACATGCCTCATGTCATTTTATTATACTATCCCCCACCATAAGATCAGTCATCCTTCTACATCCACAGATATTGCATCCATGGGTTCCACAGACAAAAGATAGAAGATAATTAGGAAACCAGTTGTCTCCACTGAATTTAGAGACAGAGAATGTCCAGAGATCATATCCAAATACTATGCCATCTCATATAAGATTTTTGTCTCCACAATGAGTCCTAGAGTCAATACTCTGCTGATCCCCAAGGATAACTGGGCTTCAGAAAGTCTTAGAGAAAGTAGCAATTTGTGATATCATCACTACTGTATGTACACAGAGCTTCCAAGAAAAGCTTTGTTTGTGTTATTTGTATGCTTTTCTTAGATCAGAAGCCAATATTAACAGCCAAGTGCATAGTGACTCTAGCTTGCACTGTGGCTTACTGTAGGCTAGGGCTAATGGACTGTGGGACATACTGTTAAGACATAATGTGATGAGAAATCACAGCTGCCACTGAGCAGTCTCATAAATGTGCATCTTTAGTAACCTTAAATCATCTAGAACACTTGAATCGTGAGTCCAGAGAGGGCAATAAGAAACATATGGCACAGAGTGAAGAGGCTGCAAGGGAACAGCCAACTATAAACAAAAGGCTGAACCTCTTTGTATTTACCATTATAAACATTTCATTTTCCAATATACTGTCCTTATGTTTTGATCAATTAATGTAGAAATTCTTCAACAATTAAGACAAATATTTGTAGAAGACAAGTATCTTTGATAATTTCTTCATTACTGACCAAATAATAGAAATTTACTCCAATGAATATGTAATGATGTTCCAGTGAATAATGTTACGTTTAAAGATTATTAAGGAAAAGGCCATAATTCTATTTTCCTTCCATTTTAATATTCCATAGTCACTGAACATGTTCAACCACATAAGATGAACTCTTACTATCTATACCAGAGTATATTAACTGCCTGCCACAAAACAGAAACAGCCATTTATACCATTTTTGGATCTAGAAACCTATATTTGACCCACTGTGACTATTCATTGCTGCCCTTATGTAGGCATAACAAATAGAACTTGCTCATTTATTAATTCTTTCAACAGTCAAGTGAGTCTTTGTACCACAAGTAACAATAGGTACCAATTTTTGAAGCAGTAAGAATTGACAGGTGAGTGAAATATATGGAAATCACACTGAAATATTTTGAGTCTACAATAAGATCTCTGCTTTCCTAAGCTATCCAACATGAGCATTCTACTAAATTAGAGGGATTTTATCAGGTTTTTAAGAAATAAATGTATTTGCTCTTTCATGTTAGGCAGCATGGTCCTCTGTAGATGTTGGTTTGACCAGACTACAGATGTCATGTACCAGTTATCTTTAGAGTCAATCACTGTAACAAAATCCCCAGGGTAATTAACTTATAAAGAGAAAAGGTTTATTTTACTACACAGTTTTGGAAGTTTCAGCCCATGATTAGTTGGTACTGTTGCTTTTGGCTCAAGGCAGCACATCATGGCAGGAAGAGAAAGAAGTTAAGAAGGGGTCAGGGTTTCATAATCACCTTCAAGGTCATACTGCTAGTGACCTAAGCTCACCTCTTAAAGTTTCCAGTACCTCCCAATAGTGCCATTCTTGGAATAGATCAAGCCTTGAACACACGGAGCTATGAGGAACAACCCAGGCCCCCAATACAGTAATGTATCTGGACTAATGAAGTTTGATAAGGGTGGTACAAGCAACAGCACCATTTCCCACAGTTAATGCCTAGAGTATCAGTAAAGCGGGGGTGTGTCAGAGGCAGAGGAACACTATCTGTCTGCAATGACTGCATTAATTTGACTTAGAGTCCTTTAGGTCAGGTTACATTTCCTTATGGAGTGATCTATTTCTTCATGCTGGGATAGATACAGTCCCATAATCTTGTTATTACTGCTCATATGATTTATTTCTACTTATATTATTCTAATCAAGTAGATCTCCCTATTGTGTCACTGAATATTCAGCAGGGACAGGCCAAACTTTTGCATGCACTTTGGCCTTTTCCCGGAAAGGACTCTGAATCTCATTCCCCAGTTAGAATTATTCTTTATGCTGCAGGCTTAAATACTACTTTTTGTTTGTTTGTTTGCTTTTTTGGTACCAGGGATCGAACTCTGGACATTGTGCTTGCAAGGCAGGCACCAGAATCATTGAGCTAACTCTCCGGCCCTTAAATACCACTTTTTAAAAAACTTCTCAAGTCACACTATGTTTAATCAATCCTGTATTTACTGAAATTTTACTGCATTACTTGTTCCTATAAACCATTTTAGACTTTCCATACATAAAGCTGCTTGTAGCATGCTATCATTTTTTTCCTATGCTTATGTTTTCATTAGATAACTGACTTACAAGTTACCAGAGAGCAAGGATTAAGTCTATTTCATCTATCCTTTTTTGTGTATAAGAATATACTTCTGTACCCACAGACACATGTCCATGCACAGGAGAAAACTGGGTCCACTATGCTAGTGTATAAATTCTTCATAATCTGGGAGAACATTGTAAAACTTTTCCATCACTTTAATAATCTACCTTTCTTCAGGTGGAAAATAAAAATTGTGATGATATTTCTATTTAGTTCTTCTTGCTAAGACTAATGTAATTTGTAGCTTTTTATCAATTAGTAGGAAATAGATCATGAGGCTCTTAAATATACTGTTAGGAGAAAATATCTTAGCAATTGGCTATGCAAGCAGAATAGTAATAATAATACCTGGATAAGAATGGGAAAAAATTTTAAGTTACATCAATTTTCCAAAATTAAATCCATCTTATTTTGGTTTAGTTTAGAAGACATTCTATAATCATTACATTACTGAGACAAAATACCCAACACCCAAAATTAAAGGGGAAAATGTTTATTTGGCTTGCAATTCATTGAAGTTTCAGTCCATAATCAGCTGGCTCCGAGACAAGGTGGCAAGGGGTAACAGTTCATGGTGGCCAAAGGTAGCAAAGAAACAAGAGACCTTAACAGCATCTTTCTGTCCCTTTTATCTTATTCAAACACTTAAAGGGAGTACCACTATGGCCCTTAATTCTAGTGCCCTCGGGCCTAGCCCCACCAAGAATCACACACTCCAGATTCAGCCACCTTTGAAAATGCAGGAGGGTTTGGAGGAACAGACAATCACAAGCTATAACAATGACTATTTTGACACTATGTTCCATGGGACCAGTTTAAATACAACTCTGTGCTCCTAACATAGACTCCATGCTTGCTTCTTACCACTTTCCAGATGATCGTGATGCCAGTTTTGCATCCAATTATTTCCCTGTGAATTCTACCCTGTGTTCTGCATACTGACCTGGAGCCTAAGACATAATAAACTAAGTCCAACAATGACTCCTAACAGTGGTTTCACTTGTTCTTTGAGTTGAAGTTGTCCTTTAGAATCAATGAATGATTTTCTGTCCTATCATAAATAAAACCATATTACAATAAATGATTGTAAATCAGTCTTGTCATGAATAAAGTAGTGATGTGGTAGACAAAGAACTTACAGAAAACATACAAAAATGATTAGAGGATAGAAACAAAATAAAATGCAATAGGGCTTGTATTGTAAAGACACTAGGAGAGCAATCAAAAATGAGACAGCTGGGCTCATATCACTACTGCCGACCAATAAAATATGAAGGAAAGAAGATTGTTGTGGTTTGATTTAATAATCCCCAAGTAGAGACTGGAGATGAAAAGATCCAGAGTGACCTGTAAGAAAAAGTCAATGCAACCTCCATAAGTGCCAAGCCAAAAATGATGCTAAGTGGAGTCTATTTTGAAGACTCACCCCCAAAACAAATGCTATCAAATATTGAATGTTTCCTTTGGAAATTATACAGCAGTTGTCAATTCCAATATGAAAAGGTGGAAGACAAGGAGCTGTGCAAAGCAGCTGTTTTATATTTGTGGATGGTTTGGGAATCTGAACAATTCAGGCCTAATGATGCTTTCATCATGGGCTCACTTTATCAGAAACTTATAATCTGAAATATGCCTACTTAATGGATTTATCGTGGTGAACTAGAGAGTCATTTTCAACTGGGCCAGAGAATCATTGTTATAAGCTTCAGGAATACAAGTGGATTTTACGGCATAGATTTATGACCAATTTAAAGAATAAATTTTCGAGAGGGAAGGGTGATAGTATTTCTTTCTGAGCAGTAATGACCGGGTGACTTAGTAACAAGGTCAAACCATGAAGCCACAGAGAGAAGCCTGTGCAAGTATAATAAAGGTCAAGATGATTTCCCCAGGCTAGAGTCAAAAGACAGAAGTCAAGAGAGGAGGAGGGGAAGCAGAGACAAAAAGAAGATGCCTCCCAGACCACTAGCACAGAAACAAGCATGTCTCAATCCCAACACATTCATGGTCACTGAGGGAC